GGCCAGGGAGGCCGGCTGCAGACCAGCGGGGACGTGGCCGGACACTGTGACAGCCGGGCAGGCCCGCGCCAGGGAAGGGGCGTCTCCCCGAGGACGTCGCCGCCCCGCCCCGCGTCCTCCCGCGCATTCCAGTCGTGCCTCGGCCGGGCCTAGGCCAGGAGGCCGGCTGCAGACCAGCGGGGACGTGGCCGGACACTGTGACAGCCGGGCAGGCCCGCGCCAGGGAAGGGGCGTCTCCCCGAGGACCTCGGCCCCAGCCAAGGGGGGCGCCCCTCTTGAGGCAAGGGGACCCCCTTCTTGCTAAAAAGTGGGACAACCGTGGTGGGAATGGGGTGTCCTGGGAAAGAGTGGCCGCTGGCCGATTGTGAGACGCAGGGATTTCGGGGTCAGGCTGGAGAAACCGCCCACTTGGACAACTGGAATTCACGGCTGCTGCGCGCATTCCCCGCCTCCTGTTCCTCGGGCTGTTCCTAATTGGAAGATAATTTCAAGTGATAGTCTAAGAATCGGAAGTCTGTTCCAAGAGTGTTCGCAGTGACCTCGCGTCGCCCGGGGCAGGGATGGGAGGCAGAGCCTGGCCCTTGGACAGGTCTCCACTGCCCAGCTGGAGGGCGGGCACATTTCCGGGGCTGAGGGCCGCTGGCCAGTCCTGACTAGAGCCAAAGGGACCTGGGTCACCCGCTGGCGGTCCCCCACCCCACCGCCGGTCTTATTCTCAAAGTTCATCAAGGTTTATCTGCCTGTCTGTGCTGTGACACGCCCCCGTTTACCTGTGACCTGGTGAACTGGGGAAGGAGAGTTATCTTCAGCGTCTGGCACAACCCTGCCCCTCAACCCCCACTGCGGCCTCAGCAAGTGTTGAGTGAGTGGGCTGATGGATAAACCAACCAAATTCTGGGACTTTGCAGGCCAGATTCCCTGGTCTTTCATGCATGGGGTTTTTTAAGCACACCCTTGGCTGTGCTTAATCCTTCCAAAGAAAACCAGGTCTTCACCCCCCACCCCCCACCCCACCAGGCGCCTAAGGTCTGACTTTGTGAAGCCACCCCTCCCTGTGAGCCAAGCATCCCTGGTCTTCAAGAGACTGCTCCCGTGGCAGGGATGTTGGTTGTTTCATCAAAGAGATCTTCAACGAAAGGGGCTACAGGACCATGTAAAACAAGTTGCCAATAGTCACTAATAAGGACAGATTCATATTAAAACACAAAGAGCTTCCATTCTTGATTCCATTGCATTGACAGCGAGTTTAAAAACCTGTCAAGGAAGATGACCCAAAATCTGCAAAGAAGGCAAGAAGTCATCTTCTCAAAGTCTGTCCTTTTAATATTGAAACATCACTTAAGGGCCCAAGGACTATGTAATTTCTAGAATCTTCCACTCTTTGATGTTGTTATTTACCACTAATGAAAGACTAAGACTCTATAAGGCAGATATTAACTTGTAGGTTTGTGCCTAGTAGGGATAAAAATAATTTTGTCCCAAAGGAAAGATAACCTTCCAGGTTAAAACGTATCACCCTGTAGGACATTAGCCATTTTTATATCTCATCTAGCAATCTTCCTTTCATATTTTTTAAAGGCCTACATAAAACCATTTCCCCAAGTGGTCTTTGAATCAGTATGGTCATCTTACAAAGTTTCTCACTGATGAGAACATGGAATAAATTTTCTACATGTGCAGTCCATATTTGTAGAAACATATTTGAGTCATTCTTTTAAACTTCTGAGTATTATATTTGGACAAGTCTGATGAGAACAGGCAGCTTTGGCCTGGTGTTTGGAAAGGCTCTTTAGAAGGCAGGTTAGCAAGAGTAGTTAAAACTGAAAATGCCCATAACTTGTGCCCATCAACCATTCCCCTCCTGGGACTCCATTCTAAAGAAACATTCCACGTTGGCACTAAGAGGAGTAGCCAGAAAAATCCATCATTGCAATGTCTGCCACTTAAATGTTCACTGAAAGGAGAACAGAGCAATTAGTGACCTATGCATCAGATGGAATATTACAGAGCCACAAAAAAGGAATCAGTGATAAAAATATTGTTAGATCTCAGGAACCAAAGGACAGTGAAAAAACTGTGCAAATGACTACATTTGGAAAATACCTGCCAACCCCACTGAGTGGTCATCAACCAGTCAAGAGAGGATGGTAACAAGAAGGACTTCTGCGTTATCTATAATGTTCTTTGTCGCACCCCCAGATAATAGGTTTTTGACAGTCCGGAGGTGTGTGGTAACCCTCCGTGAGCGAGTCTGTCGGTGCTTTTATTCCAACAGCAGGTGTTCACTTGTCTGCATCATATGTAATTATTAAGTTATGTATCCTGTGTTAGACATAACGTCCTGCCTACATCGTAGCCTACAGTGTTGTGCAAAGTTTTACATGCACTGGGAAACCAAACAGTTGCAGGGCTCTCTTTATTGCGCTGCTCTGGTCATCTGGAACCAGATCTCAGGGACCTCTGAGATGACAGCACACAGCACTGGTATGATATTTAAAGGGTTAAAGAGGTGGGGGCCGCCTGGAAGCATCTGAAAGGTGGCTAGCAGCATCTGACTGTGCGTGGTGGGACTAAACTCTCTGGAGATTTCGTTCATATTTTTCTCTTGCTTAAATATTGTCTGACCATGATGAGGCAAGAATCCATGAGGTAAGGACTCGGACTCTGAACAACTGACCTGCCCGGCCACTGATGATCCAGCCTCTAAACTCAAACCGCTCACCTGGCCTTCTTTTACCTTTATTTGCCTTTCTGCGAATTAGGAATTTAAAGCAAACACACAAACAAAAATAGTTAAAGCCCCCGACTGCTGCCAGGACAGACGCAAGGGCTGGAAGCGTGCTGTAACCACCTTTGCAGGCCTGTGTTACATAAACTCAGCAGAAGAGACCAAGGCGCTGGAGAGGTTTCAGGTTCTAAGTGAAGCCCGGGAGCTGTTTCAGTGCCAGAGGCCGCGGAAGAGCCGGTGACAACAGCGGTCACCTGCTCCTCTCTCAGCCGGTGTAGAGTGACACAGGTCCATCTGAGGAGGCCCAGGCGGTGGGTAAGGGCTCTGGAAACCAGATACGCGACACGGATTAATAACAGTAAGTAATGGAAAGGGAGGCCGTGCACCTGGAGGCCTGGGCTTTGGTGGGGTCTGGTTTTCTGTTTATTTTTCTTCAGCAGCTGCTTTGTTTTGGCTTTGATTTTTTTTTTATCATTTCTCCCGGGCT